AGTTCTCTCTACTAAACCTCAATAACATTTCCCAAGAACTGGGCCTGGGGGCTGGGGCTGTAGCTCAGTGGCAGAGCACTTGCCTAGCACATGTGAGGCACTGGATTCCATCCTCAGCACCACATAAAAATGAATAAATAAAATAAAGGTATATAAAAAAAAAGAACTGGGGATGTGGCTTAGTGGTAGAGCAGTTGTCTAGCATGTGCAAGGCCCTGAGTTCAATTCTGAGTACCAAAGAAAAGAAGAAATAAAAATCCCATGTCCATTAACTTCCTGTTACGCTCTGCTCCTGCTACCCTCCCGATGTGAGCCATCGTCACCATGTCTGAAATTGCCTGTAACTGGTCTCCCTGCCTCTGTCCTTGCCTTGCCCCTGCCTGCTTCAGTCCACTCTCCACACAGCAGTCAGAGAGATCATTTAAAAGAAATCTAGCTGTCTGGGTGTGAGGGTGCATGCCTGTAATAACTCGGGAGGCTGAGACAGGACGATTGCAAGTTCAAGGCCAACCTCCTCAACCTAGAGAGTCCCACACCAATGCAGTGAGACCTGGTCTCAAAATAAACAACAACAACAAAAATAAAATCAAAATGCCTGAGTTCTAAATAAATAAATAATAAAAAACCAAAAAGGGCTGGGGCTGGGGCTCAGTGGTAGAGCGCTTGCCTCGCACGCGTGAGGCCCTGGGTTTGATCCTCAGCACCACAAAAATATTAATTTTTAGTATCCAAGTAAATAAATAAATAAATAAATGGAAGAAATCTAACTGGGTTTGGTGACCTGTGTCTGTAATCCCAGTAATTCTAAAGATTGATGCAGGAGGATCCCAAGTTTGAGACTAGCCTGGGCAAGTTAGTTATAACCTATCTCAAAATATAAAGGATTGGGAGCATGGTGTAGTGGTACACGCCTGTAATCCCAGTGGCTCCGGAGACTGAGACAGGAGGATGGTGAGTTCAAAGCCAGCCTCAGCTATGGTGAGGCACTAAGCAACTCAGAGAGACCCTGTCTCTAAATAAAATACAAAATATGGCTGGGGATGTGGCTCAGTGGTCGAATGACCCTGAGTTCAATCCCCAGTATATTCTAATAAATAAATAAAATCTACTCATGAAACCCTCCTGCTTGAAACCCTGGACTAGCTTTCCTTTGCCTTTAGATTCAGGTTCCTTCCTGTAGTTACGTTCTTCATGATCTGGCCCTTGTCCTCCTATCCAGCTGACCCTAAACCTCCCTCCTGTTACTCCACCTTTCACCTGGGTAGGATAATGCTTCTTCATCTTCCATTTCAATGTCATTTTTCCCCCCAGAAATTCCCCCTGATTACTTTTGTGTGTCTTTTTTACCATTCCTGAGAACTACATTGTAACTATTTATTTGGTAGCAGGGATTGAACTGAGGGGTGCTTAACCACTGAGCCACATCCTCTGCGCTCCCCCCCCCCCGCCCTTTAATGTATTTTAATTAGAGACAGGGTCTCGCTGAGTGACAGGGCCTCACCAAGTTGCTGGGACTGGCTTTGAACTTGCAATCCTCCTGCCTAAGTCTCCTGAGCTGCAGGGATTACAGGCATGCACCACTGCACCCGTCCTGCTTATGTTTATTACTCCAATACATCAGAAGCTCCGTTGAGGACAAGAACTGGATCTAGTCTACTCCTGTGTTCCAGTGCCTGGCACACAGTAGATGTTCAATACATGTTTGCTCTTTGGAAGTTGTGCCTGTTCATCTATACTTTCCTCCCCACCACATATGCTGCCCAATATTCAACTTCTCGCTCTGCTTTTCTACCCTATTTCATTCCACACCCTGCTCCATGTCTTCCCTCCCTTTGTCACCTAACCTCTCACAGCTCCCCCATCTGGCCCCCAGGGGGTGCTGTCTGCAAGAGGCTTGGCCTATACTGTCACTGGATTCCTCAATTTCCACACCTAGACTGGGGCTCAGGAATGTGATCACTGTGCTAACTCACTGACGTAGCTTTTGGCTGGTGGACCAGCAAGTATCTCTAGACTGTAAACCCCTCCTCCCGGTCACTGCTGGCAAAATGAGACTTGCACAAGGAATGCATGGCTCGCAGGCTTCTGCCAGGCCCTCGGCTCTTAGGCCTTTCACTTGCTTTCCCTCTGTCTTGAATGCACCCTCCAGACCTGTGTCATGTCCTCTGAGGAGCCTTCCTTGCCAAGCCGATGGATGTGCACCCCCACAAGGCTACAGCACCCGTATTTGCCCGTGCTGGTAATTAGCCCTCAGTGTTCAAAGCCAATTTCTATGTTCTGCGTGCTACACCAGACTGAAAGAGCTTCCAGCAGGACAGTGGATGTTTCTTTCCAAAGCCTAACACAGAGGAGGCACTCGGCACGTGATATGATAATAGTAATTATTATTATTAGTGTTTTTTTTTCGGTATTGGGAATTGAAGCCAGGGATACTCTAGCACTAAGCTAGATCCTCAGCCCTTTTTCTTTTCTTTTTGGTAGTACTGGAACTTGAACCCAGGGTCTCACACATGCTAGGCGTGTGCTCTACCACTGGACTACATCCCCAGTCCTTATTTTCTATTTTGAGACAGGTATCACTAGGTTTCAGAGGCTGGCCTCAAACTTGAGATCTTCCTGCCTCAACCTCCCAAGTCCTGGGGTTGTAAGTGTGCACTACTGCTCCTGGCTCCAAATTTGTTGAGTCAATGATTGATTGAAAGGATCAAAGGGGAAAATTCCATATGTAATTCTGATAAGTCCTTCCTTATCTTTGGGTTTCAGTTTCCTCTTCTGTGAAGTTGGCACAGGAGAATTGTTATGCTGGTAAATGTTTAATAAAGAGGAGTGGGGAAAGCTGTGATTTGTGGCAAATATGAACCTCTATGGTGTAAATTCTCTCACCATGGCTGATTTCAATGTGAACACYGGCTTATATTAGCAGGTTCAGCTGCTCTCAGCTCGACACTGCAGGTGAAGATGGTCTCAGACACATTTTTTTTTTTTTAAGTACTGGGGAGTGAGCCAGGTGCTATGCATGCCTGTAATCCCAGTGGCTCTGGAGGTTGAGGCAGGAGGATTTCGAGTTCACAGCCAGTCTCAGCAACTTAGCGAGGCCCTAAGCAACTCAGTGAGACCCTGTCTCTAAATAAAATGCAAAAAGGACGAGGCATGTTGTTCAGTGGTTAAGGACTATTTAAAAAAAAAAAAAAGTACTGGAGATTGAACCCAGGAGTGCTCTGCTCAGGGCTCTATCCTCAGCTCTTTTTAAGTTTTTTTTTTGTTTTTTTTTTTTTTAATTTTGAGACAGACTCCATAAATTGCTGAGGCTGGCCTTGAACTTGCAATCCTCCTGCACCAGCCTCCCAAGCAGCTGGAATATAGGTATGCACCACCGCACCAGGCTCTCCCAAGGTATTCTTCTAGCTGCACCTTCTTGCACTAGTCCCTATCCCAGCTCCCTCAGKAGCCTGGGGGTCAGAGGTCAGGCTGTTACACTTTCATTACGTCCCCAGACCTCCAATTATTTCTTCTATCCAGTCCCAAGTGTCCTCGAGGCACTTGCATGCCTTTCCAGATGATTAACTGCCCTCTCAGGCATTCTTGGTAGACTACTCATGACCTACTGGTTGACCTCGTCCTGATGTTCAGACCTTTGCAGAGAGACTACCTATTCTGGCCTCCCTATGTTTCTGTGCCCCAACTTTCCACATTGCCTGGAGCGCCCAGTGAGTAGGAGCTATGTCCAGTCTCAGTTTTTATCTTATTTGACTTCTGACCTCTGACCCTTTGGTGCCTCTGTCCTCTCAGAATTCCTTCTGCTTCTACTGGGGATGTAGCTTAGTGGTGGAGCACTTGCCTAGCATGTGCTAAGGCCCTGGGTTCAATCCCCAGTGCTGCAAAAAGAAGAAATATTTAGTCCCTCCCTAGGTTTTCTGCTGCCTGCCTGGGGGTTCCTTTTTGGTCCCCTTCACCCATTTCTCCTCCTTTGTCCACACAGCCAACGATTCCAGCCCTGGCTACAACTTTCTTCACCTGACTTTTCAAGCAGGAGCCTGTAGTTGGACAAGGAGCCTGCCTACTACCTGTGACCGCCTGCAGATTCCTTAGCACCTCTGAACCTGTTTTCCCTACCTATAAAATGAAGATAATGGTAGCAATTACCTCATGGGATTGTTGTACAATTAGTGGGGAAAAGCATTTAAAGTACTGACATAGMAGCATCTAGTACACAGAAAGTGCTTAATAAATGTTGGTTGTTATTATTCAGGATTCAGCTTAATCATCCCTTCCATAACAGCAAGCTGGGTCAGGTGCATCCAGTCCCTGACCCTGAGCCTCCCCTTTTGAGAACTTCCACCACTTTAAAACGTTTCTGTGTGTGTGTGTGTGTGTGTGTGTGTGTGTGTGTTTTCAGGAATTAGGGATTGAAATAACGTGGCTCTACTGCCAGCTAAACAGCCCCAGCCCTATTTTATTTTTAGTTATTTATTTTTAGTGTGGGAATGGATCCAAGGGATGCTGAGCCACATCTCCAGCCATTTCGTTTTTATTTTTTAATGTTTTCTTTTGGGACAGGGTCTCACTAAACTGCTTAGGGCCTCACTAAATTGCTGAAGCTGGCCTTGAACTCAGCCTCCCTAGTTGCTGGGATTACAGGTGTGTGCATCACACCTGGCAACTTTCATCACTTGTTCCACGAGGATACACAGACGGCCCTGAGTAAATACTTGTGAATGAATGAGTGAGCAAAAGATATGGATTACTTTCTCTCCTGAAAGGACACGTGGCCAGGGCCTTCTGCTACTCAGGGCTAGACACGCCCATCGGGAAGAAGGTGGGGCTGTCCGCGGGCCCCCTCCAGCAGGTGGCGCCAGCGCCTGTCGGTCTCTTCCCGGGGCCACCTCCCTTGCCCTGGCTGATCTCATCCACCGACGTTGAGAGGTCCAGCTGATGCTGGACAGATGGGGTCCTGACGCCCGAGCAAGGGTCCAGGCCCCAGGCAGCTGGGGTGACTCCCTCATCCCTCTCGGAGAGATGTTTTCTTTCTGTCTTCTTTTACAGTGCTGGGGATTGCACCCAGGAGTGCGCGACCACTGAGCTACTCCTGCAGCCCGTTTTAATTTTTTTAATTCGAGATAGGGTCTGGCTGAATTGCCTAGGATGGCCTTGCAATCCTCCTGTTTAAGAATCCCCAGTCGCTGGGATGACAGGCAGGCACCTCCTCACCCCTCTGGAAAGATGTTTGCCTATGAGTTTCCCAGAGGAACTTGGAAGGAAAGGGAGTGGGGCCACCGTGGAGGAAAGAGGCCCGCCAGAGGGACTGTGAGTGCAGACCATGAGAGTGACGGTGAGACTGGTGTTCTCCTGGGGACCTGAAATGAGAGACAGTGAAGTCAATCGAGAGTCAAAAGCTGAGATCTAGGAACCACAGTGTGGGAGGCCATGCGGTGAAATCAATCAGCCAAAGAGGAAGGGGAGGCCTGGTTTCCATGACAACGATAGTGTTTGTGGCAAGCTGGGGACTCCTGGGTCCCCAGGGCCCATGAGCAGTGATTCATCACAGGAAAGGGAAGGCTGCAGAGGGACCCTGGTGCTGGGGACCGGATGCCCTGTGGCTCCTGCAGTCTCTCAACCCTGGCCCCTGGGCTTCTGCTGTGCCTGGGAGGGGACCTGAAGGATGGAGGAACTGAGCCCCCACGGGGTCCACCCTGTGTTCCACACATACGCACGTCTCTCTCATTGCTCACAACATGCTTGTGGAAATACTGTCATCCCCTATTTTAAAGAAAATTGTCTTGGTGACATAGGTAAGTATATGAATGGCAGAACCAGGATTAGCACACAGGATAGTCCGACTCAGCACTCTTGGGAAGACCCAGAAAGCAGAAAAGGACGAAGAGGAACATAGGGTATAGCTCAGGCCTCAGAGGACACGGAGAAAGGATCCTTCCATCTCCCCCAGCCTCGCTTGCCTGCCTGTCCTGCGTGAGCCCAACACTGAGAGGGAGGGAGGCTGGCAAACGGCCTTTCTGATGTAGGCAAGAAACTGTATCCAGCCTACTTTCTATTTGCCTTCAAGACCAAGAGAATAGGCCYGAACATCCATCCCTTTTCACTTTCTCTGTCCTGGTCCTGAGTGTAGGAGTACGTGTCAATCTGTGTGCGTGTGTGAGTGAGTGATATTCTCGTAATCGTCCTATCTGCTTACCCCCAAACTCCAACCCCTAATGGAACCTGGGGGTTCCCAGCTTCTTCTGGTCCCTATCAGAATAATCTCATTCTTGTTCAGCTGTGGGGCCCCCACAATTTCAGTACCAACGGGGTATCCCCATCACACCCTAGGCCTCCATGACATGCAAGAGGGAAACCCAACCCCTTGTTCTTTCTTCTCCTGTAGCAAAATGGATGGAGGTTGGAAGGGCCTTAGAAATCTAAGGATTGGGAATGTGGCTCAGTGACAGAGTGCTTGCCTGGCATGGGCAAGGCCCTGGGTTCAATCCCCAGCACTGGAAGGAAAACAAGAACTAAAAAGAGTAGAGAGACCTTTCAGTCTGGTCCTGTTGCTCTGTGGATGTGGAAACTGAGGCCCGAAAAAGGCAGTCTTTTTTTTTTTTTGAAGTCACAGAGCAAGTGATGGAAGAGTGAACTAGATTCCCTGCCTGCAGATTCCAAGTGCTCTGATCCCAGAAGGAACTTCTTGAATTTGGTGCTGGGTTCTCTGGAACAGAAACAGGCAGGTGAGCACAGAGAGAAAAAGCAGATTAAATGGAACAAGCTGGCACAGTGTAGCATGTGAAAAGAAGGTGCCCAGTTCATGTCCCACCTGTCAACCATGTTCCATCAGGAATCATGGAGGTGAGCCAGGTGCGGTGGCACACGCCTGTAATCCCAGCAACTTGGGAGGCTGAGGCAAATACTTGTGAACTATGGAGTGATATGAATGTTGTCGGTTGTCACGGAAGGCCAGTCGTGTCTGGTGGGACCTGAGAGAGCTGCCATATGGTCTACAGGTGGGGGGTAAACCGAGATGCTCAACCTTTGATCTTTGGGAGAGTCAAAGAAGAGCATGAACTTTCAACCTGCCCCACACTTTCGTAATCCTCCTTCTTGGGGATGGGGGTGGGGAGGTGGGCAGCAGGTTCCTGCAGACCCCAGGGGTGCCCAGAGGCTGTGGGAAGCTGAGCACTAATTAGCTGCTGGCTCCCTAATTGGGCTTAATTGCTTCCAAGTGATCAGCAATTAAGAGGTTGCTTCAATTAGCACAGGGAGGGTGACAACTCAGCTGGGACTGGTCAGGGCTCCCCTTGGGAGGGGGAGGAAGTGGAGGAAGATGGCCTCCTAGCAGGACGGCCCTTCCACCCTGTGATGGGGGAGCATCACAGCCTTCTCCTGCACTGCAGCTTCTCTGACTTCAGTTCACCCCCTTTGACAAGCTCTCTGACTTTTCTGCCCAGGTGAGACCTGGGATCTGGGTCTGGCTCCACCACTAGCTTCCTTGTGACTTTGGCGTGGACGGCCATGGGGTCAAGGTGGGGAATGTAGGCTTTGAAGCCAGGTCTCTAGAGTTTGAATCCCAGGCCCTCCGATTCTTGGTTGTGAGATGCTGGAGTGCTTTGTTTTCTCACCTGAGCCAAAGAACTGATGATGGTCCCCGTTGTGCTGGCTATTCACAACAGTGGCTGGCTTTGTAAACACTCAATAACTATTAGCTGGTTTAGAATTCCCTCTCCAAACTCAGCGTCTTCATTTATAAAGTGACAGGTCAAAGTGTTTTTATTAAGTTTATTTTTTAGTTATAGGTGGACACATGTCTTCAACTTTATGTGGTGCTGAGAATCTAGCATGTGCCTCACCCATGCTAGGCGAGTGTTCTACCTCTGAGCCACAACCCCAGCCCTAAAAGTGTTTTTTATTGAGAAATTCCCATCTCAGCCCAGAACAATCACTGAATCAAAATATCCAAGACTTTGGTCATTGACAGGTTTTGTGTATGTGAAAGTATGTGTGGTGCTGGGGATGGAACCTAGGACCCAGAGCATGTTAAATATGCRCTCTAAGTTGGACRCAGTGGCACACATCCATAATCCCAGCAACTCAGGAGGCTGAGGCAGGACAATCTCAACTTTGAGTCCAGCCTGGTCAATTAAGAGAGGCTCTGTCTCAAAATAAAAAAGTAAAATGACTGGAGCTGTGGCTCAGCGGTAAAAGCACCCGTGGATTCAATTCTCAGTACCAAGAGACACACATCCTTGCTTACCTCTGAGCCACCTCTGCCCTGAAGGCAGCACCTCCTTTGGTAGTTTTTTTATTTTTATTTTTGGCTTTGTTTTGTTTGGTACTGGAAATTCAACCCAGGGGCACTTTACCTCTGAGCTACATTTCCAGTTTTTTTTTTTTGGGGGGGGGCGGGGAGGGTGGGTAATAGGGATTGAACTCAGGGGCACTCAACCACTGAGCTACATCCCCAGCCCTATTTTTTTTTTTTTTTTTTTTTGTATTTTATTTATAGACAGGGTCTAACTGAGTTGCTTAGTACCTCGGTGTTGCTGAGGCTGGCTTTGAACTCCTGATCCTCCTGCCTCAGCCTCTAGAGCTGCTGAAATTACCAGCGTCCATCACTGCACCCGGCCCCAGTTCTTTATTTTGAGACAGGGTCTCACTAAATTGCTGAGGCTGACCTTGAACTTGCGATCTTTCTGCCTCAGCCTCCCAAGTCTCTGGGATTATGGGCATGTGCCACCTTGCCCAGTTTACATTGGCAGTTTTGAAGGCCCTCTCTCTCAAGAAATTGTGATGCCCAATGAGGTTTGAAATCACCGAATGGATGGTCTCAAAAGATTCCCCCAGCCTGGCACAGCTCTTCTCTGCCCTGTGCCACACCAGACCCCTCTGCCTATCCTTCAGAGGAGTGGCAGTTTGGACCAGAGGCCATTACCACCTGTGCAGCTGGAAGCAGTTCCTTCTCACCCATTTGGAATCCTCAATAAAATGAAAATAATGACCTTGCCATGCTCACCTCCCAGGGCTTCCTGGAGATTATGTTTTACTAGGTATAGGACCTGCTATAAAGGTAAGCAATTATATTGTTCCTTCCTTTGATAAACATTTATTGAAGGCCTAGCATATACCTATTTCCTTTAGCCAGAGTTGTCTACAGAGTACCAGCTCCTGGAAAGATCCATCCCAAACCATCAGATAAGTCAAGTTTTGGGGCCAATCTCTTTTTTTCTTTTAGCTCCTGCTTGGAATCAAATGGATGGGAAGAGCCTAGAACAAGCCCTGACACATAGGTAGCTTCATTACTATTGTTATTATGACTATGCCCCAGGCTTCGAGCCCAGAGAGGCCTAGATGCAGTGCACACATGGAGCTCAAGTGAATGAAGGCAGTGAGGGGAGAAGTAGGTGATGAAGAATGGATTGTGTAGGAGAAGTAGAGGGAGAAATTGCGACCCTTGAAGGGGCCAATTCATGAGGGAGCTACAAGGAAGATATATATTCACAGGGCTAAATGTGTTTTGATAGGGCCAGGCGCGGTGGTGCATGCCTGTAATCCTAGCGGCTTGGGAGGCTGAGACAGAAGGATCAAGAGTTCAAAGCCAGCCTCAGCAACTTAGCAAGACCGTGTCTCTAAATAAAATATAAAAAAAGGGCTAGGGATATGGTTCAGTGGTTAAGTGTCCCTGGGTTCAATCGCCAGTACCAAAAAACAATATGCACCAGGGCCTGTGGTCGGTGCTGGAAATAGAGAAGATCACCAGATTCACAAAACATTAACCCTCAAGGAGGTCCCCTCATGGGAGAAGACATATATATACATAGCATCACTACTGTGGGACAAGGGATGTTGGAGGCTCAGTGGGGACACCTGATCCAGGCACTTTTAAATGACCCTGGAGAATGGATAGGAGTTGGCCAAAGGGCAAGGTATATGCTAAGTCCAGGAAGGTTGGCTTAGAAGAAGCAAAAGTCAGAATTACTGGCATTTAGAGAGCAAGGGATGGGGCTGGCACTGCAGGCTTTACAAGCCAGGTCATAGGATTTGGAGTGTATCCCAGATACAACGGAGATCCACTTTGATTTGAAGTCTTGTGGAAACATGACATGGTTTTTCTTTTGGAAAGATCATCTCTGGGGGTGGGGGGGGTAGGATGAGACCCAGGCAAGGGTGGGGGCCCTTGCCAGGTGGGAGGTGCCTGCAGGCACCCAGGTGAGGCTAGGTGCTCAGAACAGGGAGCTGGAGGCGAGCTCAGAGGGAGAGAGACTTTGTAGGAAGAGCTACAGAACTTGGGGGTCCTTGGCTGCGGGAGACGGAGTGGATAAGTCTGAGGAAGCTGAATGGGGCCAGGATGGTGTTGGGAAGAATGAAGAATTCCATCTGGGGCTGGGGCTGGGGCTGGGGCTCAGTGGTGGAGCACTTGCCTAGCATGTGCAATCTGAGGCACTCCAAAAAAGGAAAAATATCATCTGGGACATCAAAAAGGGATGGCAAGTGGTAGAGCTTGACACCCACTTGGAATGCCTGAGTCCTCCTCTAAGAATTGTCAAGAGGGCTGGGGCTGGGGCTCAGCGGTAGAGCGCTCATCTAGCATGTGCAAGGCCCTGGGTTCAATCCTCAGCACCACATAAAAATAAATAAATAAAATATAGGTATTGTGTCCAACTACAATTACAACATAAAATATTAAAAAATTAAAAAATTTAAATAAAAAAGAATTGTCGAGAGTGGAAGGCTGCTCACCCTTAGCCCAGTACCAGGCCCTCCCTCTCCCCAGTCTCTCTGGAACAGACTGAAAATTCCTGGCCCAGAGTCACCCTGTTGGGGCAGGCTTTCCTGGATCTTCCCCAGCTCACAGGGAGGCACATACCTGTGTGCCTGCTCCTTGGTGACACATGTTGGGAGGAGCACTGGAGGTGAGTGAGTTCAGGGGAGTTTCCCACTCCCAACTTCTGAGGTCTCTGGCCTTAGTTGTAACTTGGATCAGGAAGTAACTCCCCGGGCCTGGAGCACACAGGACAGCAGGGTGCCATGGACAAGCTGTAGACAAGGCAAGCAGAGCACCCACCTTTCAGTCCTGATCTTAGCCCCTCTGGATGGGAGACTATGAGCACCACAGGGTTCATCTTGTCTTACCACTGCACCTTCAAGATGGTTCCAAGATGGTTCCGTTTGGGCTGGGGATGTGGCTCAAGCGGTAGCGCGCTCGCCTGGCATGCGTGCGGTCCGGGTTTGATCCTCAGCACCACATACAAACAAAGATGTTGTGTCCGCTGAAAAATAAAAAATAAATATTAAAAAAAAAAAAAAAGATGGTTCCGTTTGGATGGTGGTCACATGACTGTCTCATACCTCCACCCTTCAGTGTCAATGTGTTTGAAGGCAGAATTCTCCCCCACCGGTTCTGCAGTGGGAAAGTCATGGTGCCCTTGTCCACCGGCCCCAGCACACATCTCCATTTCCAGCTCCTCCCCAAGTGCTTCAGCCTCCTTCAGCCATTTCCTTGCCCTCCCTCTCTGTGAAAATGTGACTTGAATTAACTCTTGGGAGAAAAATCACAGAAACCAGGAAAGGGGGGCCTTGGGGAGGGGGCAGTGAGTCACGTTTCCATGTGTATTTTTCAAACTTTCCAATGGAAGTTTGGAAAACAACAGTCCTTTGGTTGCCAGCTTGGACCTGCTTCCCCAGCACAGAGTCCTGTGTTCTGTTTCCCCCTCAGCTCGCTTCTCCCTCTGGGCTTGTGCTATTGTAGGGTTACTGGGAGGACCTTCCTGGGGTAGAGCTTTAGTCTCTTCTCTTTTCATCTACCCCTGCTTCTAGGTGGACCCATGGGGACTGCAGCAGGACTGGGGACTTTATCTCTGTGGTCATTCTGGCCAAGCCTCCAACACTTGAGAACTTCCAATGGTGCCAGGAAGCCCTGGGCTCTAGGAACCTCTTCTCTGCCCCCACGTCCTTCTTGTCTTTGCATTCCAATTTGCAGAGGGCCCATGGCTGAGGGTGGAACTTGTGGACGCCCAGGGAGAAGCTCTAAGAGGAGAGGCCTCACCCCGAGGAGATGGCAAGGCAGAAAACACATGGAGAGGAAAAAGAGCATGATGGCATGGCCCGTCCCTCTTGTGTTCTGGGCCCTGGGCCACACCCTTAGCACATCTGCTGTCAGGTACAACCTCCTGCAGCCCTGGGAAGAGGCGTCAGGATCCCCATTTTGCATATAGAAACCCAGGATCAGCCAGAGAAATGAGTGGGAGCCCTGAGGATGATGAGCAGATAGTGGTCCCCTTGAGAAACGCATGGGAAGGCAGATCATGGCCCTAGCCAGCCCCTCCTCGCAGGCCCTGAGCCCTTGGATTATCCCTTCATCTGCTTCCTTTGGGCGGGGTAAAGGGGTCCTGGGCTAGCTGTCCCTCTATCCTGCTCCCTCTGGGGGGATGCCCCCCCAGTTTCTGACTAATCCTTTCCAGCTGCAGTGGCATATCCTGCCCTGCTGTGCCCATGCCAGAGACAACCCACATCACATGGGCCACATCTGGCTCCATTTGAGCACACCCCACCCTCCCCTCCCTTGTGCTTCCCCCTCCTCTGCCCAGGGGCCAGAATGGGGAGCGCCTCTCAGGACCCCTCTCTGGCTCCACCAGCCCTGTTCGCCTCCCCTTCCCTTCCTCCTGCTCAGCCTCCATGCCTGGGACATCTTGGCCGGGTCCTTCACTGCCCCCTCCCTCATCATATCCTGACTTCTTGGCCCCACCCCTTTCCATCCCCCTCTGAACTGTGGATTGGGAAGGTGGCATTTTGCAAGGCCCAAGTCTCTAGAGCTGTCCCAGGGTAGGGGGAAGGCCTGGCAGCACGGGACTAAATTGCCCCTAGCCCAGCCTTCTGGCCTCTTGCCAGCTCGGGCTTGGGAGGGGAGAAGACCCCGAGATGTGCGTGCATGAACGGGTATGGCTGGGCTAGCAGGGCGGGGTTGCAGGGCCGAGCCAGTGCCAGGGCTCACCCTCTCTAGGTCTTTTGTGAGGGATGGGAGGAGCCTGGAAGGGCCTCCAGCTACCGGCCTTGCTCCTCCTTCCTCCTTGCTTAGCAACCGTTGTCACCGGGTAAATATTTGCCCCATCAGGATCTGGCACTGGAGCAGGGACATCAGCCAGGGTAGCTGCCCCTCTCCTCAATTCCTCGACCTCTCTCTGCCCATCTCCCCACTTCAGGGACCCGCAGTCTGGACTCCAGATATGGTTCCAGCCCCTCCCTCACAGAAGGCTTCCTCCCCAGCCTCCCCCCTTTCCCCACTCTCACCTCCCCTTCATTCCCACTCACTGGGTGCTCAACTCACTGTGGACCATCCACCCTCTCTGGACCCATTAGGAACTTGAGCAAGGGCCACCCCTAAGCCAGACAGATCCTCTGCCTCTGCCCCACCGTAGCCCTCTGGGAGCCCAGCCTGGCTATGGCTCCTAGTACACTGTTGGTGCTCACTGAGCTCCAGGACCTCACCCCTTTCCTTCAACAGGAAATATGCCTCCCACCTCCAAACCTTAGCTTTACTCCATGAAGCCTGGGGGAGGAAGGGAGTAATGTTTTGCTGGAAGCCATTCTCCATCCTCAGGCCAGAAACCTCCCCATCAGGAAGTCAGCGCCATTTTTACCTTCTCTGGGGTAGGATTGAGGGGACCAAGGCCAGAGGGAAACAGATACCCCCTTACCCCTTCCTGGGCACTGACAGGACAGGGTTGGAGAGCCTGCCAGCTTCAGCCCTGCATCCTGCCCCTTGTAACCAGGTCCCTGCCACCCCTCTCTTCTTTTAGTGGTTTTCTCATTACCTGTCATTGCGATGAAGAGCCCCTTTAGGGGTCAGGGCCAAAGTGAGGTGCACACTCTGACTGCCCAATGGACAAAAAGGGCTAAGGGGGTGCCCCTTTGGGCGGGCCTGTGGGCTGGCTTAGGAATAGCAGAAGGGGAATCTGGGGAGTTAGACTAATTCTGGTCTAGACCCAAGGGGGTTGGGCTGTGCAATGCTCTGACTCCTCCCAGCTAAAGTTCTGTCTTCAAGGCAGTGACTGTTGAAATGCTGGCCCAAACTCAGCAGGCCCTTCCCCATCCCATGGGGGCTCCTGATGGCGCAGAGAACCTGCTCATCCCTTTGCTTTTGGCAGCCCCTCTTCCCAGCTTCTCCACAAAGTGCCCCTTGCTCCATCCCATCCCACCCATCAGGAAACCTCCAATCCCTCCTTGCTGAAACTTTGCACTCCCAGTTGCTGGTAGAGAGGTTTCTACCCGGACTCAGGAACTTGTGGGCTACTGGAGCTGGAGACAGGGGTAGATTTGCCACTGAGCTAAGGAAGGTGAAGCTTCAGGGCTGCTGAGCCACCAAGACCATATGGCTACTCTCTAGAGCCATATGTCGAAATCCGCAGAAGATCCTTCCCTGGTTCATGGGGATCGAACCCAGGTCCTCTTGAAAGTTAGGTGAGGACTCTACCGCTGAGCTACCTGGCCAGTCCTTATTTTGAGACAGAGTCGCTGAGTTGCCTAGGCTGGCCTCAAACTTGAGATTCCCCTGCCTCAGCCTCTCGATTTTCTGGGATTACAGGTGTACACCACCACCACCATGCCGGGTCCTTGGTTGTATTCTTCGAGGGCCTCCCCTCAAAACTGTATGTGCTTTAGGTAGGATGAGCAGTTATCCCGATTTTAGCATTAAACGTCCCATGTCCTAGGAAGTCCCTATCCTGAGCAGACCAAACAAATGTCCATCCTACTTTCATGCCCTCAAAACATCTGGTCCACACCTGGACAGGAAAGAGCGAGAAAAGGATTCCTTTTCTGTCTCCCTTACTGCAAACGTGGGGACGGCGGCGGGGAGGGGGACTCTTTTCTCCAACTCCAGTCCTAGAGTTGTGGAGCTTCTGTTTGTTTCCTTGGCAACAGGGAGAGGAAACCCCCATTTAGGAGGCCGGGGAGGCCCCAGCAACCACACACACAAATACATACAGACTCACATGCGGCCGCCCACACGCAGCCGCCTGCGTCAGCATCGGCCTTCAGCGCCGCCTCCGGGGTGTGGAACCCGCTGGGAGCCGAGCCAGAGCGGAGCCAGACAGCCAGCTGCAGGGATTGGCCACCTGGCCCCGCCCACGCCGCGGTCGCCCCGCCCATTTCCACCCCGAATCGAATCGGGGCAGGTGGTGAGGGGCCGAAGGCGGGATGCGGGAAAAGGTGGCACTGCTGGATGGCGGGCAGCCCGCGGTCGGATCTCTGTTTGCTCTAGTCTGATGTGCATTGTGGCAGTTTTGTGTATTGTGAGTGTTGTGCCWGTTTAGGGAGCTGGAGGCGCGCGGGTAGGGTGGCCATCTCCGCCCAGTAGTGTGGGGAAGGTGATTTGGAAGTTGGGAACAGAGTTCCTGGACAGGCCCTGGGACTTACTATTAGACTGGGTTCCTTGCGGTTTAGGCTAGAGAGAGAAACCTGGGGTCTGGGGCCTACTTCTGTCACCTGTCAGGTATGTGGCCTTGAGCAAATCAGTTAACTTGTCCAAGGTCTCGGTCTCTTTATCTGTAATATGGGGATAATGGTATTTGCTAGTGCTCCTTAAAGAGATTTGAAAAGGCAAAGGTAGCAATCTTTGTGAAAGAGTTGTCACCTGGGAGACACCTGCACAGGTGAGAGGTGTGAGGGATTGGTTCTCTGCTCTTCATCCAGCTGGCCCTTCCGGCCTGGCTGGAGCAGTGAGCTCATCAGACGCCTCCCACATCACAGGAGCAGCAATGCCCATGCCTTGGGGTGGATTGGCTCCTTAAAATCTGTCCAGCTAACAAGGCCTTAAGCAACTCAACAAGATCCTGTCTCAAAGTAAAAAAACAAGGGGCTGGGGTTGTAGCTTAGTGGTTGAGCKCTTGCCTCCCATGCGTGAGGGAGGCACTGGGTTCCATCCTCAGCACCACATAAAATAAATAAGTAAAACAAAATATTGTGTCCACCTACTGTTACCCCGTTGTTTACCGGTGATGAGTCCTTGCTTTGCCAATGCTGAAGTATAACGCCGAGGTCAGTGTAGAGTGGAAAGTAGAAGCTTTATTATAGGACAGCAGAAAAGACTTCTCCCAGGAGGAAGAAGGGGACCCAAGAGGTGGAATCCGTGGAAGGGCAATGTCTTCCCCTTTTTTGGCTAAGGTCTTCTTTCAGCTTTCCCACATTCCTATCAGCG